ACGCTTGAGGTATTCGTCCAATCACTAGGCACTGTATAGTTGGCCAATCACAGCACACCTCGCTTTTTTCAGACCGATGAGCTTTGTAAAAATCAACGCGTTTCAGAAAGGCAGGGCATAGAGGAGAAACAATAATGTACAGTATGTGGAAAATAATGTGTTTTTTGAACCTTAAACCGCATAAACACATTTCATTACACCAAATACACAAAATAATGTTCTTTTTAGCAGCATCATATGACCCCTTTAAGCTGCCTATTGTAGCAAAGCTTAACAACTCCCTAAAAACAGCTAAAACCAGCCTTAGCTGGTTGGCTGCTTTGGCTGGTCTCCCAGGCTGGTTTAAAAGTGTGTGTGTTTTTTTTTGGCCTCTGCTTTTTAGCTGGTCAAGCTGGGACACCTGCTAAAAAGACCAACCAAGCTTAAACCTGCTATTTTCAGCTTAGACCAGCTAAGATTAGACAACCAGTCTAGGTTAGCTGGTTGTTAAACTTTTTTAACTGAATCAACAGGTTTTAGATGGTTTTAGCTGGTTAACTGTTTTTTTTAGCTGTTTTCACTTAATCTTTTGGTTTTAGCTGGTTTTAAGCTGTTTTATTCCTATTTCAGACCATTACTTGGTTTTTAGCTGGATTTTTTTCATTCATGTTAGCAATATGTTAAATCAAGTTTAAAATATGCTTTCAATATGCTACTCATGCTAGAAAAATGTTAATCATGCTAGCAACATGGTAACAATAGTAATCATGTTAAAACATGCTAGCAACATGCTGACAACATGCAAATCATGTTAGAATCAAGCTAGCAATATGTTTACATTATGTTAATTATGTAGCAACATGTTAAATAATGCTAGCAACATGTTATCTAATGTTAACTTAACTTCTATCTAATCTATCTATCTAAACTTTCAAACTTTAAGCTTTCACACAAGCTTTTACTTTCAAGCCAACTTCAAAGTTTGTTTGCAAACTTTACTCATCTAAAATAAGTGTTAATAGCATACAAATAGATAGTATGATTTAAATATTAAATAATTTAAAGATTTTAAAGATTTTTTTTAAAGGGTCATATGATGTTGCTAAAAAGAACATTATTTTGTGTATTTAGACATGTGGGGGCGTATTTAAACGAGGCGTTTTTAGGAAGGCATGGACCAGTCTTAACTTTTATAAAGAATATCTCTTTGGGTTTGAGACTTTAGTCTTTGCAACTATCTTATCTATTTATTAAGCAGCAGAACACTGACAAAATTAATAAATGTTTCTTGCGCATCAAACCATCATATTATAATATATGATATGGAAATATATTTACCTTATTGAAATGTATCTATCTAACTTGAAATCGCATCATATGACCCCTTTAAAGAAAACAAGGTCTGGACTTGCTTATGTCAATCAGAGCGAAAAATAAACTTGACGCCACCTACTGGCGTGCTAAAGGGTCAGCAAATGAATCTGAACGAATCTTTTTGGTCAACGGATTCAAAGGAACCGAGTCACTGAAGTGATTCAAACGCCGCACAAACACAACACAAACATTTGGAACGAAGGAATCTTTTATAAGAATTCACCGTATAATACTGTATCCTGAATTAAATAAAGGTGTTTAGCTATTTATCTAATACTGTAAACATCCGTTTTTTGTTGTTATTTGTTGTACCAACAAGTCAGGAAACGAACACATCGTAGTCAAACGAACACATTAGTTATTCATAATTTTTCTCAAATTACTGTGTTGTTCTGATCGCATATTGATTGCTTGGCTGCTCATATATGATTCATATATCATATTAAGACAGAAGATCTGTGCATTTCTACGTTGAAAATCTGCGGAAGTAGGGCGTCAGCTGGTGTGTCACATGATCGCCATCATGTGATTTGCATACAGGGAAATGACCTGTTTAGACAGTTGTACTCATCATCAGCAAGAAAGACAAATCTCAAGAGAGCCTGAGTGTCTGATGTGCATGGTCACTCAGTCCCACACTCACCATGGCTTGGACAAAATACCAGCTCTTTCTCGCCGGTCTGATGCTCACCACAGGCTCTATTAACACACTCTCCGCAAAGTAAGTAGCACGCACGCGCTAGATGCTGTTTGTTTACATGTGATTTCTGCTTACTTATATTAGTTAACTGAACTAATTGCCTCTATTAATAGGACAGACAAGGATGCTTTCACGTTTTCTTTTACAAAACTGTACTCCGTGTCCTTATTATTTTGTGAAGGTGTGTCATTTTATTGTGTAATATCATGGTTTTTTGTTAATGTAAGCAAAAAATAGATGAAAGAAAGATTGTTTTTCAGTAACAACGTATGCACTTTACATATACAGACGAAGCATTTTAGGACAAGATGATTAGACGACTCACGTGAAATTGTGAAGATCCGACGTGTCGTGACATGTTGATGCTGCAAAATCAGCAATTCTGCCACCAAAACCCTTGTGACTATTAGTCAATAGTGCAATCGCAGCATGAAACTTGGTGGTCCATTTAGCCAAGAAGATGTCTGCTATAAATGCTGTTAAGTAACTTGTAAATTGATACAGCTTTGTATCTAAAACAAGCTTGATGTTTCTAGGCAGATGGTATTTGATACCACACTTCACTCAGTATCTGCTGAAAAACTGACACTGATGCATCTCTGTTTTAACACTTAACTATATTTGTACACTCGTTTTTTACAGTACCACAATGACTCTTCTTTATAACCAAATCTTTCTAAAATCAATCGTCAAATTGTTAAATCTAAAGGAGCTGTTAAAATCTATTTGTTAAAGTCTTTTCTTCATAATGAGGCTTTATGTCAGTCATGCATTGTCATTTCATGGTTGTAAAAGTGACATTAGTGTACCATGTGCATAGTTACATATTAAACTTATAGTGACTTAAGTGGAGTAGTTTAAAGGGGGGTGTGACCAAAAAACTTTGAGAACCACTGGTTTGGACAAACGGATTTGTGTGCTTCCCAAACTTAATCTATCTTTGAGCCAATGTTTGCTATGACTGCGTTATTTACTGTTATACTGCATATTAATGCACATTAAGTTGGATGAATTTTAATATCACATTTACACATTTAATGACCTTTAATAAATCTGTTTGTCTTCTAGATGGGCTGATATGTTCTCTGCACCTGGATGTAATGGTACCCCAGATCATGCCTTCTCCCACCCTTTTGTACAGGTAATGATATTTATCTATCCTCGAGAAAACAACACACTATTCACATCAAACTTCGCTCTCAGCAATTTTTTTTTCAGTACCTCTCAGGAAACGGAGAACTGAAAGAGTTATTTATGTTTTGGCAAAGTGAGAACTGGTTTTGACTCTATGTCCTTCTCTTCATATCACTTTTCCCTGTCTCTGACGCTTTTCCTGCATGCATCTTAATAATAAATGACTCCTTTCTTCACCGCACATCTCCTCGTCTCACCCTTCCAGGCTGTGGGAATGTTTTTGGGAGAGCTGTCCTGTCTGGTGGTGTTCCACATTCTTCTTTGTCATGATCGGTGCAAACCTGAGCCCACGATGGATCCGGGCCAAAGTTTCAACCCCCTACTTTTCCTCCCCCCTGCCCTTTGTGACATGTTGGGAACATCCATCATGTATATTGGTGAGTATCCAACGTGTGTGGAGTATATTGTGTCAATAGTCTTTAGTCCTTAAAAGGTAGGTTCACCAATTTACAACCAGCTTTGTATCGTTACAGTGTCAGCAGTATAAGTAAATGAACTGTGTATTATCTTCTTTAAAACTATATATGTCTATTCTTTTTATTCTTGGATTTACTTAAACAGGTTCTGTGCTTGTGTATTCATTCCTCTTTGTTTATATCTCTAGCACTGAACATGACCAGCGCCTCTAGTTTCCAGATGCTGCGAGGAGCTGTGATCATCTTTACTGGACTGTTGTCTGTAGCATTCTTAGGACGGCGACTGCAGCCCAGCCAGTGGATTGGGATCCTAGTCACCATCCTTGGTCTGGTGGTGGTTGGCCTGGCTGACTTTCTGAGTGGCCATGGGAATGACTCCCATAAGCTCAGTGAGGTTATCACAGGTCAGTAGTTACCTGCTGATGAATGTTTTTAATCATACGTAATGACTATTTGTCTTTTACAACTCAGAAAATCTTCTCGTAGGCTGGATATCAGGATTTTTTCTTTATTTGATTGTATCTTGCATCTCTATCTGATTGGACTGTTGCACTGATTATCTTTTGATCTTGTCTTATAGGGGACCTTTTGATCATCATGGCGCAGATTATTGTTGCAGTCCAGATGGTCCTGGAGGAGAAGTTTGTTTACAAGCACAATGTGCATCCACTGAAGGCTGTTGGGACTGAAGGTAAAATTTTGAATATATTGCCATTATTATTATATTAAGTCTGTAAACAGGATGTTAACAGAGGCCAGAGACGCTGAAGATGGACACAAAGAGGAGAAAATACTGTAGCAGGCAGAGCAGCTCATTGTTCACGATGTGCGGAATAGAGTCCGAAGTCAGAAAGAGCTTTATTGGCAAGTGTGTTTGCACATACAATGAATTTGTTTTGGTAACAGAAGCTTCCAGTACACAGAGACAACAACAACACACAGATAATAAAAAAATAAAGATATATGAATAAAATACACATATGTATATACTGTACATAAATGGGGCAGTCGTAGCCTAATGGTTAGGAGAAAATAATAAATATGGAATTGGGGGTTTATATGAACGTGTTTCTGAGGGGAACTGACTGTCTTTAGAAACATTTACATGGCGTTTTTTCATCGTGCCTCTGTATAATGCGTATTAAAGTAGTGTTTATAAGGGCAGAGCTGCTGTGTTTACAGCGGTAACCAAGGAAATGCTGTATCGCTGCTGTTCCATAAGCGCCACCTACTGTCAGAGAGTGAATTTGCGTCTAATTCAGCTGTCTTTGTTTTGTGCAGATGTTTTATGTAGCATAATTTCACAAAGTTAAAGTCAGACCATTCTGTTTTTGCTTCAAATTTTGAAATTATACAGTCTAATTTAAATCAAACATTAAATGTGTAGAATCTCTTTTTGGATTAATTCGTGATTAAAATTCAGTGGTTGTATCTAATTTCAAATGGCTATGAAAAATCAAGAATGGTAACACTGAGTAAAGAATATGCAATGTTATTTTACATGTTACTATTCAATTTCTGTACCTGAACACCTGCAAACATAAAAACCTAAAGCATCATTTGATTTGAATCTTTGTTCTATATATTTAATTGTGCTATTGCTTGTAATTTGTTCATTTGTTATTATTTCCTGACTGTTCACTTGTCTTTAATAACTTTGAACTTTATATTTATTAGGCTAGTAGTGGTATCGAAATTGGAAATGAGAGTTGTAAAAAATTTAACTGATATCTAAAATGTTGGTGTTTTTTAGAATAAAAGATAACATAGGTCAAAAACAATGATAACAGCAACTATTAAATTTTTTTGTGGCAGGGCCAGTGAAAATGTTGGCAGGGCAAGTAAAAATTTGAACCACTGGCTCGACCGGGCCAGTGGAAAAAATCCTTAGCACTGAACCCTGAAGTATATTAATGCTACTTATTAATAATGTTATCATAATGATTATAGACTTTTATGTTATGTCACATGCTACTGTTTAAAAGTTTTGGGCCAGTAAGATTTTTTTGAATGTTTTTGAAAGAAGTTTCCAATGCTCACTAAGGCTGTATTTATTTGATCAAAAATATAGTAAAAACAGTAATATTGTGAAATATTATTACAATTTAAAATAACTGTTTTTATATATTTTAAAATTTAATTTTTTCTTGTGATAGTAACTTAGTTGTCTTCTCTCTCTCTCTCTTAGGTTTTTTCGGATTTGTCATCCTCTCTTTGCTCCTCATCCCAATGTTCTACATCCATGTGGGAAGTTTTGCAGACAACCCACGGCAGGTCCTTGAAGACGCGTTGGACGACTTCTTATATTTATTAGGCTAGTAGTGGTATCGAAATTGGAAATGAGAGTTGTAAAAAATTTAACTGATATCTAAAATGTTGGTGTTTTTTAGAATAAAAGATAACATAGGTCAAAAACAATGATAACAGCAACTATTAAATTTTTTTGTGGCAGGGCCAGTGAAAATGTTGGCAGGGCAAGTAAAAATTTGAACCACTGGCTCGACCGGGCCAGTGGAAAAAATCCTTAGCACTGAACCCTGAAGTATATTAATGCTACTTATTAATAATGTTATCATAATGATTATAGACTTTTATGTTATGTCACATGCTACTGTTTAAAAGTTTTGGGCCAGTAAGATTTTTTTGAATGTTTTTGAAAGAAGTTTCCAATGCTCACTAAGGCTGTATTTATTTGATCAAAAATATAGTAAAAACAGTAATATTGTGAAATATTATTACAATTTAAAATAACTGTTTTTATATATTTTAAAATTTAATTTTTTCTTGTGATAGTAAAGTTGAATTTCAGCAGCTGTTACAACAGTCTTCTGTATCGTGATCCTTCAGAAATCATTCTAATATTCTGATTTAGTACTCAAAAAAATATTTCTTGTTATTATCATTGTTGAAAACAGTTGTGGTGGTATTTATTTATTTATTTATTTATTTTTCAAAATTAGTTTGAATTGTAAGTTCAAAAGAAATTTATTTATTTAATTTATTTAGTCTTTATTGTTTATGATTAATTGCTAGAAAAGGCTAACTGTTAAAAAGATTAAATCCGCAATAAATCAAAGGTAGTATAGATTAATGAAACAAACAATGCTGATTGGCCTACAACTAAATGTTGTCATTACCATAGGTGTTTGCTAGACCCTTTTTAGGAGATCTCCGTTTTTCATTTTAGCCCCCCTAAGTCTGTGATTAACTTATCTGTCAGTGCTGTTACAAATGAGTGATTATATTTTCTGACTTGACGGAGTGGCTTCTGAGGTTATTTCACTCTCAGTCCTACCCATTCATTGTTACTGTCAAATCAGAAAAATGCGGCCAAATATGCCTTTGTTAATGATGAACATCTACTTACAAACAGGCAATTGTGTTTATATATCATCCATGTGGGAAGTTTTGCAGACAACCCACGGCAGGTCCTTGAAGACGCGTTGGACGCCTTCTGTCAGATTGGTCATAAGCCTCTCATTTTACTGGCACTTCTGGGCAACACTGTGAGCATTGCCTTCTTTAACTTCGCTGGCATCAGCGTCACCAAGGAAATAAGTGCCACCACTCGCATGGTGCTGGACAGTCTGCGTACTGTGGTCATCTGGGTCATGAGTTTGGCGCTGGGTTGGGAGGTATTCCACGGCCTACAGATTTTAGGCTTCATCATCCTACTCCTTGGTACAGCGCTGTACAATGGACTGCACAAGCCCTTGATGGCCAAACTGCCTTGCTGCCCTGGAGAGCAGAGAGCAGAGGAGGAAGAAGCCCCAGAGAGAGAGAGGCTGCTTGGTGAAGGAAAAGCTGCAAATGAGAGCTAATATTGGACTTTGAACAAAATGCTGTCCGCAAAGCATTTTTGTTTTTAGTTTTAACTGTTATTTCCATTTTAAGAAAGAATAACGTTTTAGTATTGTTTTAGAGTTTGATTGGGATGCACGATATTGTCGGACTGATATCGGAATCGGGATATCGGGATATGAAAAATTATGCCGATAAGAGGAATACCTTAACTCACATGTGCTCAGGGTGTGCTAGTGATTAGATCAAGTCAGCAGTGTGGCTCATTCTTGAAGCAAATTTTTGTCTGAATGATGATTAGATTGACTGTTTTGGATCGCTGCATTTAATCTGTGAAAGCACATACAGAAAAGCCTTTGGTGTGTGATAGAGTAAACATTAATAGCACGTGCAGTGGCAGCAGCGGCAGCCTCCCCCAGGTCCTAAAGCCCGTTCGGTAAGAAAAAATCAAACATGACACTTGAAAATTAATTTTATATATACTGATTTATTCATTAATGTGTAATATGTTTTATTTTTTAAACAAATCATAAGCTCTAAAAGATTTTCAGATTGTTTTACAGCTCTTTTGCTTTAGACCATCTACAAATGTTAAATCTTAAAATTGAGTCTAAAATGTTAAGGTTAACACTGCATCTTTCTGGGGGAAAAAAATGCAGCGATTGATATATAGTTTATTTAGGCTATAGTTAAAGCTTCAATGTACTGTCAAAAAACCTTCATTGTTGTTTATTTAATTCTAACAAATAAGTTCTTGTTAAAAACTAACCAAAATTAAAAATATTTTGCTTATAATTTCTGCATAGGAGAGACTTAGGGTTGTTTCCAAACAAAAGGAAATTTATCGGTATCGGCCAAAATGAGTTGGAAAAATATCGGATATCGGCAAAAATCCAATATCGTGCATCCCTAGAATCACTATTACTAGGGATGTGTTTACGACAACTACGAATTTTCAATAGCATTCAGCACATATAAGAACACTAATAACCAGGGGCCATATATTCATAAGAAACTCTTAAGAAGAAAAAAAAAAAGTGTTACACTAGCCTTATAAGAGGAAAGTTGAGATGTTTAATTAATTAGGTCGTTTCAAGTATAAAGAATTACAAAATTATAACACTTACTACAACTATACCTAGATTCAACACTTAGGAACCATCACTACTTATTGCCTAAAGCCGTTTCCGTGGGCATGTCTCAACTGTTAAAAAAAAAGGATAGTTGTGCTTGGATTTTAAAATAGTTTTGAATGCAAATTTTCACTTTAGGAAAGGGAACCATTTTTACATGATTCCAATGTCAAAAAAAAATCTTAGAATAATATTTTAAGGTTTTTAATCCTGTGTTTTATAGGTTTCAAAATCTTTTTGTTTTGTTTGTTTGTTTACATGATGTGCTGTTGTTAGGAGGACATTATTTCTCTAAACATTTTATCTGAGGAATATTTTTAGTGATCTGTGAAACGGGTATTGTGTACTGACAAGAAAATCTTCTGTTAGTCCATGTGTATTTGCTTTATAAAAATATGGAAATATCACTCAGTAAGTTTAATGCCAGTAAAAATCTTTTTTCTTTCTTTTTTTTCATTTCTTTTTTACAGAGTAAGATACAAGGAACCCTAGTCTCAAAAACAGTGTAGTTTTTACTAAAAGTATAAAACTGACATCTGTCTTCATAAATGTATAAATTCCTCTCACATTCTTATAAGAAACATTTGTACATTGTGGATGCATTTGTTTGTGTTAAATGAAAACTGGAAAAGGACAGAACTGTTTCACTCAGTGACTATTAAATTATATTAGATTAATTACAAGTAATACCAATATCTCATATCTAATTATGTGTAACAACACTATTGCTGGTTTCTGAGTGCATTCAGAACTAATATTGTTTTCCTAACTAAATGTTTGAATTATTTTTTATATTTTGAAATTAATGTTTGCCTAATTCCACAATGAAGATATGTGACCAAAATAAGGATAATGTGCTTTTTTAATTTAAATCTTAATTTACTTATACTTAAATGTTCAGCGTGTGAGCATAATATCCTAAAGCAAATTTGAACAAAATGGCCATCAATACGAATAATTATAAAAACGGTGACACTTTACAATAAGGATCCATTAGTTAACTATCATTAGTTAAATACAATTGTTAATTGTGTGTGAGCTCAGGTCCATTAAGGAATACGAAGTGATACAGCTTTTGTTTTTAATAATGTATTATTAAATGCTGAGTCCGTATTATGTTAACAAATGAAACCTTATTGAGAACCATTCTGTTTTAAATATTATTTATCTATTAAAATATTTATTCATGTGATTATTATTCCAAACTATGTTTCAAATCAAACCCATTCGACCAGATGTGACGTCACATATCGGTCCGCTCGCTCAGTCATCATCGCTGCTGCTGAGAGAAGTGAGGCAAATAACGGGAACTTCAGTCGTTTCAAAACGTTATGGGATTATTATGTCCAGAGCCGTTGTTTCTCATATCATCATGGTGTGTAGAACAAAAAAAGATGTTTTGAAGTCTTCGGAAACATCTTGGACCATCGCTGCAGACAGAGGTAATGTACACACCGGGTCCCTCAACGCGTGCTGTCCGCTTAGCGAGCTAGTGCGCATTATTAGCGGGATTACAGCTGTCACAACATTGTGTTGCCAATGTGTAACCTGGCAACCGTATGTTCAATAATAACTGTATGTTGCGGTGCCGATGTTCAATTTGGCTAATTAGCTAGCGCTGTGTCGCTTCATTGCGTTTTTTTGGCCAACCTTTGGCTCTGGTTGATGCTTTAGCTAGCCTGTGTCCCATGTCTCCCCGTTATCACTGGAAGCGGAAAGGACAGAGAAAGCCTCAACCAACATCTACGAGACAGCGGCACTTTTCAGCATAGCTTGTGGATGTTAGCATGAACTAAAAGGATTACAATTCAATAACACAGCCAGCTATTAAAGACATGTAACAGGCCAGCTGCAGCCATCCTTAAGATGATCCTCATTAAAAAAACAGTACTGCATGCAGCTAGTATGGACCGTCATTCATCTGTTCTGACTGGTGGGAAAAAAATGATAGTATTGCTAATACAGTACAGATTTAATGATTAAAGCTAGAGTAAAACCTTTTAATAGCCTTGGGTCCTTTTTAAGACAGACAATAGTTTGATATATTTTAAACTATAATATTTCTGTGCTCAAATTCAAATTTATTAAAATGTAAAATATTCACGTCAGTTTTGTTATATGCCAAGTAACATGCATGCATATTTATGCATAAATAAATCAAAACAAAACACTTTATATATATATATATATATATGTGTGTGTGTGTGTGTGTGTGTTTTGTTTTGATTTATATATAGATAACATATCATATATAGATATAGAAACATATATCATAAAATGTTTTGTATTATATATATATATATAAAACACAAAACATTTTATGATTCGATATTTAAATTGTTTTACATGTGTTTATATCTTTTAGGCATTCTAGATTTATTACTAAAACAGTTTTGTGTGTCTGTGTCAAAAATGTTAGTAACAAATAAAAATAACAGATTTTTATTGTCACTACACCATATAAACGAGTGCAACAATTAAAGAAAGTCTTGGCTGCATAATTCAACAACACTGCAGTCAAATAATGACTGTATAAGACTTTGACAATGTATGCAATAAGTATAGAATTCACAAAATACACATACATACATACATACAGTTGTGCTCAAAATTATTCATACCCTTGGTAAATATGATCAAAGAAGGCTGTGAAAATAAATCTGCATTGTTTATCCACTTGATCTTTCATTCAAAAATGAAAAAAAAAAAAATCTAACCTTTAATTAAATAAAAAATGAAAAAAAATAAAAGTGGGGGAAAATCACATTATGAAATAAATATTTTTCTCTAATACAGTAAGAGGTTGTGTGTCTATATCGTCCTAATGCACGGTGAGAAGAGTTTGAGTGGCCAAAGACTCCAAGGATCACAGCTGGAGAACTGCAGAAAATAGCTGAGTCTTGGGGTCAGAAAGCCTAAAAAAAAACGATGTTGTTTGGGAGGGTTTCAAGAAAAAATGAGAAAAGAAAACGCTCTCATCTAAAAACAAACTCCAGCATATTTATTTTGCTAGACACGAATGGAACTTTAAACGGGACTGGGTTCAATGGTCAGATGAAACAAAAAAAATTAGCTTTTTAGCAGCAAACACTCAAGATGGGTTTGGTGCACACA